AGCTCAAATGAATAAAAAAATCATTGATTGATGTCTTTGCACATAATCATAATGGCTAGTAGGGAATGAACATTTGGAAATGAACATAATGGCTAGTAGGAAATGAACGTTTCTGCTTCGCCAGGTCACGAATGCTGCACGTGCTGAGTTTCAGGGGATGAAATATCGAATGACTATCGATTCCGTTAAAATTTCCGTTGGCAAAATATAATAATTCTGGACGTAGGTCACAGCTATAAAATAAGCACAAGTGAATACGAAAGAAGAAACAAAGAAATCATCGACGCATGCTAATAAGCGTCTAAATCTCTAAGGATACAAAAGAATAAACTCCTGTTTGATTCGTAATAACTTCTAAACAAGTAAAGCTTTTAAAGAGAAATAACTTGCCTTAAATAGAAGAAGGGCTAACTTAGATTTTGATATATTACAGTTGTATTTTACTTAAAAATTCACGGAGATATTAATGTTCAAAATCTGGAGCATATTTTGGGATGTGTCTAAAATTAGCGAAAATCGGCATATCAAATATTAACTCCAGCGTTTGTTTGCTTAGTGACATATCAGGCTAACTTGTATTTCAGCGAATTATCGTTAGGATTTGTAAGGGATATGGCGTAGATTTAGACATCTTACATGTAAGTCTTAGCTCATTGTTTCCTGTAATATGAACGTTCGAAATTATGCAAGTATTTTATATTAGGTCTTTACGAACTTAAAAGTACACGAAAGACTGACCATGGAAGGCAGGCGCTTAAATTTTTCTTAAATAGCCTAATTTTTTTATGTTTTTAATGGGTTCAAACAGACTGAGTTGATTATTTCTCGGTTAGAACAGGATGAATGTTATTCTTTATTGAAGGAATTAATATTGCTTTTTGCAAATACACATCACCGTATCAACGCTACTATTTTGTTACGTTTTGTTCCAAAAATGTTGCATGTCTCTGGGGAGTTGCTTAATTGTTACAGTGTATGTCTTATGGAGTTATATGGTTTGATTGTGTTTCATATAATTCTCAGTTTACTCTGAACTTGCCAAGATTAAGAAAAGGCGAAAGAGTTTGGGTGTTCTTAAACAAGATTTCAGAACGTTGCAGAAGTTAGAAGAGCTTCGCAATTCCATTGTGACAACATGCCCTAATTCAGAACTGCGAACGATCCATGACGATCCTTCGCGATGCAGTGGTCTCATGAAATAAGGAAACGTATTCATACTAGGAACACGCGTGAATTTCGGACGGATAAATCGTGCTTGTATTTTGTAGATATAATAATACTTTGTTTCATAATAAACAATTTGTCAAGTGTCATTTATTTACTGGTAATAGTACATGTTTCAGTCGGGCAAATCTTGATTAATATTTGATACGCCGTTTTTTTGCATATTTCAGACACATCCAGAAATATGCTCCCGATTTTAAAGATTAATATCTCCGTGAATTTTTAAGTGAAATACAACTGTATCAAAATATACAGTTGTATTTGACTTAAAAATATATCACAACTATATCAAAATCTAAGTTAGTCCTTCCTCTATTTGATGCAAGTTATTTCTCTTTAAAAGCTTTACTTGTTTATAAGTTATTACGAATCAAACAGGAGTACTTTTTTTTGGGACACCCGGTATATATATATATATATATATATATATAAAATTTGATTTCGTTGGTTATAAAAACTTTTGGCAAAGTGCTCAATGGAAAACCACTAGAGCATATTTAAATTAAGGTACAACAAATCAACAAAATCCACTAGGCATCTTTATTACTAAATAGTTTCGTACCACAGTATATGGCACTCTTCAGATAAATTGACCTAATGACTATAGACTAAAACTTACAAGGTTATATGTACAAGTGGATGAGACATAAAACTTAATCCTATTTACAAAGCACGCGATTTAATAAACATGTTATGTGATAAGCTGACAGGACGCGGAAAGATTAACACACCGCGGTATATTTAAATGTCTAGCTTTTAAATGTTACTTAAAAGGAATTTTTTATTATGCCTACATGCTGATACTAACTCATTACGTTTGAAAAAAAAAAAAAAAAAAAAATTCTCATTAAATCTGAAATTGGAAGAGTTAGCAAACTTATCTTGGATAGAATTAACACAAAAGTCAACGAAGCTACGCGCATAAACCAGTGGAAAAACACTAAATCTGTATTGTCCTGGTTTAATCAAGTTGCAGATAAGAGCCAGTACTCATTTATTGCATTTGATGTTGTTGATTTCTATCCGTCCATCTCAATTGATCTTCTGAAAGCTGCGTTAGATTTTGCGTCCAAGTATGATAACATTACAGATACAGAAAGAGAAATTATTCTACATGCGAAGAAATCGTGCTTGTACAACTCGGACAAGCACTGGGGAAAGAAATTGTCATCAAATCTATTTGATGTCACTATGGGTAGCTTTGACGGTGCCGAATCTTGTGAATTGGTTGGATCTTTTCTACTACACCTTATTACGATGAAGCACGGAAATAAGTTTGGTTTATATAGAGACGACGGCTTGGGTATTATCAAAGCAACACCGCGCCAAATAGAACTAATTAAGAAGGATCTGTGCACTTTATTCAACATCCATGGTCTGAAAATTACCATTGAAGCGAACAAAAAGATCGTGAATTTCCTTGACGCCACACTAAATCTAACCACTGGTAAATATCATCCATACTCTAAGCCTAACAACACACCTCTTTATGTGCATAGCAAGTCTAACCACCCACCTAGTGTTCTGCGTAATATTCCATTATCCATTAACAAACGACTAACCGAGATATCCTCTGATAAAGATTCATTCGAACAAGCCTCCCCGCCATATCAACAAGCCCTTGACAAAAGTGGATACAACCACAAGCTACAGTTTAAACACCCCCTAAACCTAATGACTAATAACAAAACCCGAAGCCGTAAAAGAAAAATTATATGGTATAACCCACCACATAGCAAGAATGTTTCGACTAATGTTGGCCAGACTTTCTTGAAAATAATTGACGAGGAATTCCCCGCAGATCACCCATTACACAAAATATTCAACCGTAATACAGTCAAGATCAGCTACAGCTGTATGCCAAACATTAAGCAGCCTATCGATGGACACAACAAATCTACGCTGTCTACAGCTTTCACCACGAATGGTCTCGACATGTGCAGTTGCCCTAAAAGCAATAAAGAACTGTGCCCACTGTCAAGGGCGCCGGAGCCACGGGGGCAGCGGGGGCAACTGCCCCTGTTGCCCAAACAGTGCGGGGGCAGCACAAGGGCAACAGGTTGCCCTTTTTACCGGAACTGCACTTCGACATTCGTGCGTTATTCACAGGAAATGGAACTTATAACTATTTTTAAGCAATGTTTAAGCAATCTTTGCTTAATTTTTAACCAGTTGTAGTTAAATTAATGCTAAATCAGGCAATATACATCCGTTTACTGATTTTATTTCGCTCCCTTAGCATGGTGCCGCGAATAAAATTGTTCAAAATTAATGTCGAAGTTTGCCGACCCATCATAGCCACAAGTAATATAATCGAGTATCCATACAGTAAATTTTTAACAAATATTTCCGCACAGAAAAACTATGATTGGGAAGCAAGTGCCCTTTTGAAATGGCTGCCCCCGCCGCTTCACATTGCTTCCGGCGCCCCTGCCCACTGTCTAATAAATGTATCACCGAATCGGTTGTGTATCAAGCTACAGTTACTACTACGGACAAAACTACCAATAGACCTCCCCAAACATATGTCGGCCTTACTGGAAACTCGTTCAAAACAAGACTTGCAAACCATAAAGCATCATTTAACTCTTTTGACAAACGGAACGCTACTGAACTTAGCAAATACGTGTGGGAATTGAAAAATCGAAACATCCATTATACAATCAAATGGAAACTATTGAAACGAGCTAAGTCTTATAACTGTGCTTCAAATAGATGTAATTTGTGTTTATGGGAGAAATACTTTATCATTTGTAAGCTCAAAATGGCAACTTTAAACAAACGTAATGAGTTAGTATCAGCATGTAGGCATAATAAAAAATTCCTTTTAAAGTAACATTTAAAAGCTAGACATTTAAATATACCGCGGAGTGTTAATCTTTCTGCGTCCTGTCAGCTTATCACATAACATGTTTATTAAATGGCGTGCTTTGTAAATAGGATTAAGTTTCATGTCTCATCCACTTGTACATATAACCTTGTAAGTTTTAGTCTATAGTCATTAGGTCAATTTATCTGAAGAGTGCCACATACTGTGGTACGAAACTATTTAGTAATAAATATGCCTAGTGGATTTTGTTGATTTGTTGTACCTTAATTTATATATATATATATATATATATATATATATATATATATATATATATATATATATATATATATATATATATATATATATATATATATATATATATATATATATATATATATATAATAATTCAGTTTCTTTGAACGTATATGTAGTGAAGAGTGCTCAATATTACAAAATAGAGCGATTTATTAATACTTAAAATGTTTTTGTTGCTACTCCGAGTTTCATGCCGTAAAGGCAATCATCAGGCAACAGTTTTTGCTTCAGAAGCAAAAACTGTTGCCTGATGATTGCCTTTACGGCATGAAACTCGGAGTAGCAACAAAAACATTTTAAGTATTAATATATATATATATATATATATAGGGCTTCGGTGGCCAAGTGGTTAGCGCACTTGCCTTTCACCTCTAAGGTCGCAGGTTCAAATCTCAGTGAGAACTTCTCAATGTGACTCGAACCCAGTCCTCGTGTGAAAAGAGTAAAAAGTCAACGCTCTGCCGAAAGTCGTGGGTTTTCTCCGGGCACTCCGTGTTTCCTCCCACAGGGAAAGTTGACAGGGTGGGTTAGGCACATAAGGTCTGGAGGCAGATCATTAATGAGGTATGGACTAATAGCAGCAGCTGCTCAAGCGCCATTTGTAAGCTCAAAGTCTACCTCGGTCTGCTTCACGTCAGTCCAGTTCTATCTATCTATTCATAATGTAACCAGTCACTGAAAAGCCCTGATATAGGGAGTGTGCTGTGAAATATCTGTATCTGTATATATTATATATATAATTAATTAAATTATATCTCACCAAATTCTGAGAAGGAAATAAATCATAGACAACTCTACAATACTCGACAGATGCTTCAACCATACATGTCCATATTGATTTATAAATTGGCAATCCTTGAGCGCTTGATTTTGAATTTCCCTTTGCCTTCGTACTGGCAGTGCCACCGTCAAGGTCGACTGATACTTTGGAATAGGATGAAAATACCGGCCTGCGGTCTAGAATCACGGTTGTCTTTTTAAATACAGTTACAAGCTTACCCGAGTGCATAGTAGAGCAAATTAAAAACGTAGATATCTTAATATGAGCAGCTAAAACGTAAATTATTTTTATTCGAATTCATTTTTAATTTCGTATTCTGTGATTCTTGCCACCATTGAATGCCACTAGTTGCCAGGCCACTGGCCCAGGCTCTGATAACCCTATTAGGGCTGGCGCGGGCATAGGCTGGATTGCGGGCAACACAACGCCGGTGTTTCCACTTGGAAGGAAATTTCCTTCCAGAAGCTATGCCAGAAGGAAATTTTGACCTTTGGAAGGAAATTTGGAAGGAAATAGCATTTGGAAGGAAATTGGAAGGAAATATTGTTATAAAGAAGGAAATGAGAAGGAAATTCTATTTTATCTTATAATTTCCAAGAATAAGGCAATTTTCATACAATTTTGTGCAAAAGAAGACTCTGAAAATGCCATTTCCAACGATCTAGAGACTCCATATTTTCAAAATTTTCAAAGCGCGATCTCATGGATGTTGTTTTTCCAAAGTTGACAACTATGTATCTAGGACAGGACCCCAGAATTGCTATATTGAAATAACAACCAAACCTCGTACCCTGGATATTATTTCTCAGACTCTACTTAACTTAGCGTGGGCAAGAAAGAGCCTAGGGGTTTCTTGTGTGTGGGTCCAGGGGGGAGAGATGCAAGACACAGTTAGGGACCGCTCATTATTTATTGTACAGGGGGGGATTGAGGAGAAACTGGGGGGCCTTTAAATTTTTTAAAACCTGAAAGGGGGGGGGCTTTGAAAAAATACAGAGAGACGAAAGAAGGGGGGCTTTGAAAAGATTTACCAGCTTGAAAAAACATTAGTAGTTTTAAAAACGTATCACAAAGCAACTAACAACAAATAACAATGATTATACTATAGACCTTTAATATTGATAAATGGAAGCCAAATAAAAAGTCTCTTATATATGTTCATGTAAATAGACAATTCCCATTATAGACTAATTTTAGAACTAGGCAAAGCAAGGCATTTTTTAATACCATGGACTGGTGGGGCATTTGTCCCACTGGGCCCCTTCCTCTGCCCCACCACTGAAGAAAAAAAGGCCTATTGCCCCAAAGCCAGGGCCCTATGACCTGTATTGAGTAAATGAGTCATTGAAAAGAAGTTTAATTAAAAACCAAAATTTGTTGGTGAGCATACTTAAAGACCATGTCAAGTCCGTAATGTAAACAAATCCTTTGTTTACATTTTGAACTGCTGTATTTGTAAAATAAGACATAGTAACTGAATATCTAACACTTTTCTGGTTTACGATTATAAATGAATATAAACTAGAGTATGTTTCAATTCAAAAAAGTTCGAAAGATGCAAAATTTGGGCAATGTTTATATCTGTGGGTCCCCATTTGTTAAGGCAATTTTCCATTGCAATCGCTTTGGGCGGAGCGAACATTACTCAACTTTCTCTGTAGTTGCCTAACCTGTGCATTTTTTGTCCACCTGAATGAAAAAAAGGCCTATTGCCCCAAAGCCAGGGCCCTATGACCTGTATTGAGTAAATGAGTCATTGAAAAGAAGTTTAATTAAAAACCAAAATTTGTTGGTGAGCATACTTAAAGACCATGTCAAGTCCGTAATGTAAACAAATCCTTTGTTTACATTTTGAACTGCTGTATTTGTAAAATAAGACATAGTAACTGAATATCTAACACTTTTCTGGTTTACGATTATAAATGAATATAAACTAGAGTATGTTTCAATTCAAAAAAGTTCGAAAGATGCAAAATTTGGGCAATGTTTATATCTGTGGGTCCCCATTTGTTAAGGCAATTTTCCATTGCAATCGCTTTGGGCGGAGCGAACATTACTCAACTTTCTCTGTAGTTGCCTAACCTGTGCATTTTTTGTCCACCTGAATGCTTGCGGACACGCCATGAAAGTAGAACTACATTCAACTTTCTTGGCGTGCCCAGGCGACTGATTTTTCACGTGATTAAAATTGGTCGCTCCGCGCGGGCAAAGCGACTACAATGGAAAATGGCCTTTGTGAGCAGAACTGATGCGCAGAACGGACTTGACATGGTCTTTAAACTTATGTTGTGTTTGAATGTTTAGCATGCAATTTATTACAAATTTCACCATTAAAACTTTGTTTTGAGAAGCTGAGATTTTTTGTATCTATGCGACGAAGACTTTAGACTTTTTCTTGTCCATACTGCTGATAGATTGACTTACGTCCACAGTTTGATAAGTTTTGCCGGAGACTTCAATACTTAATTGCATTTAATTGAAAATAAGAAATAGTCTTAATTAGTACATTACATAGCTGAAAGTGAAATGTGCTGGTCGAGAATGCCAAAGTGGAGGGTAAGAGAAGCTCTAGAAGTACAAGACAATGCATTCCAAAGATGGGGACTGTCTAGGGGGTACAGGGATGCCCGCATGAAATTTTAAGTTAGGGTCATCATATTGTTGATCACATAACTTTTTGCTTTATAATTATAATCTTTGTTAATTAAACTTTGTGGTTACTGAAGAATAAAATTGTATCAAGTGTGTCACGAGAGCTAGGGATATTCCCCAAATGCAATGCACTGAAATTTAATGCAAAGATCCAACCCCAAATATACCCCCAGAATTGACCAGTTACTACCAGTTCACTGGTCACTACTCAACCTATCCACCAGTCAGGCGCTTTATCAATCTATTAAGTGATGAAGGTGAAGCACTTAGCCATTAACTTTTCAATCTGCATCTTCCACAGGAACTAAGGGACCAGTCACTGTTTATACCAGGAGTTGGGGCCGACGAGAAATTATTTTAACCGCAAAAAATAATACAACCAACCAACCAATACCCGGAATTTTGGAATACCCCAAAAATGCAATTTACTGCAGATAAATGTATACATACGTACCTATTTATGATTACTCATTTTTTATTGATCATTGCCATTATTTTAAAGATCCTTGTTCACATCAAAACAAAACGGTGAAACTGTTCGTGTAACTAAAAATCTAAGTCAATTTTTTTCGTACACACCTAGTGACGAAGAAACTAGTGAGGTCTGTGCAAATATATGAAGTAACTAATAAGGAATTTATTATATGCTTACATTTCTTGACAGCAATGTTACTTACCCGATGTATAAAATGCAGTCATTATTAAGCCGCAATGTGCTCTATTGAGTTTAATATTCTGCTTTGTCTAATGCTAGATGATTATTTTACTTCAATTTTTGAACACCGAACGATTGATTTAAAGAATAGACTGTAACCTACCAACAAGTTTTACATTGATTTTGATCATTTTTTGTGAAATGAACCATAACGAATAAGGTGAATATAATTATACAACTACAAATGCAGTTTTTTTCAAGTACCAACCATGCGAAATACTTTGAGCCAGTTTAATGCTTTGCATAAATACATGTACACATAGCGTGCCTATTTCATAAAAATGTGTTCTCAGAATCCAGGAAATGCTATTTCAGAGACCCAAATTTTACAAATTTCCTGGGGGCATGCCCCCAGACCCCCTGGCTATCTCTTGTCTGTGGTACTCGGCTCACACCTTCGGATACTATCCTGGGGGGAGGGCAAGGAAAATGGGCCCTTTGGCAGTTTTTCCCCACCACTGCATGAAGAATCCTTAAAAAATGCACTGAGGCAAAGAGATCCAAATCAAGGCCGGATATTGGTGAAAATAGTGGGGGAAGAGGAAACAAATTTTAGGGTAGGTGCAGTGGTCTAGCTCACAACCCCCATGGAAAGTTAGGGCTTATTGTAGAACAGGACAATATCAACGAGGTGAGGTATGCATGTAGTGTACATATGTACCAGTGTATTAACAGTGGCGTAACGCAACCGCTGGGGGCCCTCCGTCAATCGGCCACTTTGGGCCCCTTTGCTCCACTAAAAATAGGCTCCAAAAATTTTTCTTGGAACAATTTATTTTTGGCGACCTCCTCCCTCCCCCGTCGCCAAAAAATTCTCGGACATTGTACCATTTTAGGGGTCCAAAATTTTTTCCGGACATACCCAATGAAATTGCAATTAATTCATTCTAGTATCTCGTCCTTTACCTCAGCCGCGACGTACTTAATCCGTCGCAGCTTCGGGAAATTTCTCGACGGATTTTGCCTTTTCCAGAGAATGGGTTTTTTTTATTCAATTCAATTCAATTAATTCAATTCCCCAGAAATGTGCTATCAAATTTTTTAAGGTCATTTTTGTCGGGGGCCCCTAAAGTTCGGGGGCCCCCGTATCTGGACACCCTGACACCCTCCCGTTACGCCACTGATTGGGGGATTTATTGTGAGAAAGCTAGTCAATTCATTTACCTGCACATCTTGCAAAAACTGTCTCATCCCACATTCCATGTCAAGTCCTCTGCGTTCGACTGACCATGATTACTTAGGTTCAAGACCTGATAATCAACGTGCATCTGCCTACACGCAGTTTGTTAACAAGGGAGGTTTAACATTGCCATCAACATCAGTCCTTTCTGTGCTTAAGTACGCCGAGATTGTGTTCAAAGCTTGTGTAAGCAAGGATGGACGACAAATCAGTTCCAGCGATCGACCACGAAGCAAAATGATTTTAGAAATTAGCAATCACTTCTTTGCTGACAAATCATCTCGATCAACCCTGTTTTCCGATCATGATCCTGGGAGAATGATATGGATGACGACCACAAGGTTAAATTAATCAAACACACGGCTGATCAATATTTCACTCTTCGACTTTTCACCTACGGAAAGCGACATTGCGAATCTGTCCTAGAAGGAGGGAAGCCAAGCGACAGACATAAGTTGACAAAACTAATTTTGTTTAAAAATCAATAAACATACGATACATTCAAGCTTGACAAATATACATATGTTTATACTTATCTTATATTAACGTTTCAAATTGAATCATAATCGTTTCACCGCATGACTATAGTTGAATACAATACTGTAAATGTTCAAATATCAATGTATTCATGTCCATTTTCTGCATCTTCCATGTTGTATTTGTGTGTTGAATCGTCCTCGTTGCTTGCCGATTCTACCTTTCCTTGATAATTTCATGCTTTCAAATATACTAAGTGACGTATATATGCAAATTCAAAGCACAAAATTTGCTAAAAATGACAATGCAAAACAT